CTTTCATATCTACATAAGGCAAAGCATGCAGAAAGTATTCTTCCACAAAATCAGCCCCAAAAAGCAAGGCATGAAATAGGATAACATTAAACAGAATGAAACACCACTGGTAAGTCCGAAGTCTGCAGAATGTCACCTAAATAAGAAAAGAATACATGTTCATTCAACCTTAATCTCCATTTCTGTTTTTGCCCCCATTGAACACTATATGTACCTCTCACAGCACTTAGCGGTACACTATTTTAAGTGTTTATTATTTATTTTTGTTAATCTATCTCTCCAAGTAGATCATGCCCTTCCAGACAGCAGGCATCATGCCTCTCTCTTCTCCAGTGCTGCTTAGTTCAGTGTTTGGCACAAAATGGAAACTGAATAAAATGTTGGCTGGTTGTTTCCTTGCCTGTCTGCATAAGAGCCTGCTTACTACATATATAAGGCTCTGTGTTAAATACTGAGGAAACAGAGGAATCTCACAGAGGCATATGGATATAAAGTAACAAGTGGCATCATTGTGTTAAAAGCCTATAGGAAAATACATGATATTCTTTTTGGAATTGAAGCACTTGGATCAGTTTCTTCTCTAATTACAAAGGTCAAGGGCTATTTTTCCAATGACCTGATTGCTTTCGTTGGCCACTGCACAATGGCTACTATCAAACATTTACATTCTTCCAGTATGACTTTTCAATTTAATCTAATATTGAATTCTGACATTGTCTGCTTTGACAATGTCCCTTAATCCATCTGACATGTCTGTCAACATGGGCAGATTCCTGCTATCTGCTTAAGCACCCCATTCAGAGATCTAGGATGGACTCGTGCCAAGCTTCCGCCACTTCATCAAAGGAGATGGCAACTTTCCATCTAGAAGAGCACATGCAGTATTGTAATATAATGGAGCCAGGGGATATTAAAGGAATTAAATCTCTGTTCACTGTAGCTTCGATCAACACAACCTCCTATCGTAATAGTCACCTCTTATTGAATACTTGTCATGGGCCAGGCACTGTGCTAAGGCATACTTTATATGCCTTAATCATTTCAGATTGGTTTTCTTCGAAATTAAGCTGAGCATCGAACTGTTTAGTAATTTGCCCAAGATCATTCAGTGCATAAGGGGGTAGAGTATATCATGATTTGAACTCAAGTATGTCAAATTCCAAACCTCACTCTTAACCACTAGAGAATCCTGACTCCCATCTTTTACTTTTCCATGTCTGTTGAATAGGAAAAAGCAACCAAACCAAACAAACTCTTGAAATTATAATCTGAACTCCTTTCCAGTTTCTCAGTGCTGGTTATCTGCACATGTAAGAAACTTCAGCCACTTCAAAGTCTACTGTAATAGATAACAAATGCTTCAAAGATTATAAGAAACTTACCTGCATATTGTCTGTGAGCAATTTCAGGGCTTTGGAAATTACTGAGTCCAGATGTCAAATTATGCCCAAATGTATCTCAGGATAACGCCAGTCTAACAGCAATTGAAGTAAAGTACTTTGTGTCTCAGACTTTAAGGATAAGGTTTCTGGCAATCAACCTGAGCTTTTGTCCCAGAATACCTGCTGGCTGTATAGGAGAACAAGTGCTGATCATATTTCAGCTAGGGTGAATCCAGAAAAAAGAAAAAAAGAAGCAAACCTCTTCAAATGCTTCCAATCTTCTGTACCTCTTGAAACTAACCCCTTGTCTTTATGCCAATTCCTGGTGAACTATGCATGGGAGTTGAAAGAACAGTTCACACATACCACCTCTCCATAGCATCATCACACAAGGAGAAATGTCATATAGTATGTTTGGAGTGCATCTCAAGAAACTAAACAATTGAAGTAATTCCCCTGTATATGCACATGCAAGAAATGTACTACACATCAGGGCTGTGCGTCATACATGTGGGTGTCATCTTTATCCCCAAAGAAACAACTGGTGAGGTTTGGTGTATGTTTCATTGGGAAGGATTTTGAATTCCTAGTGTAGGCTATAGAAGAACTTTACTAAATTAATTATATGGCATCCAACTACTTCTCCCAGGTAACTACCTCAAAGTGGAAAATAACATGTAGTCTATTTTAGCCTGAATTGAAGAGATTGAGCATTTGATGTTTAGCATTAGCTATTTTCCTAAAGCATATATGTGTAGAAATTATCCCAAACATCGTTTCAACCAGAAGAACAACATCCAGCATATTTTCATGTTTCTGTCACAGAAGCAGTTGTACTGAGCATTCTGTTCTCAGGTCAGGTAGTGTCCCCCCCAAGCCACATTTATCTTCCTACCAGCTATTTGCAGCAGTTTTTAGGAATAACTCATTACATTTAAAGTTGTCTGTGTTTTCCCAACAATCATTGCTTAATCTTGGAAATGTTTACAAAGTGGGAGAACCTAACCTCTACAACCATTCAAATCAAAGGGATATTTTTTTTACACATACTAAATCTAACAATTAAATAGATCTTAGAGGTATTTAATTAAACACATCCTATTTTGAAATTTTCTTTTCGTTTTTTTTTTTTTCCTCACCCGAGGACATTTTTCCATATTTTTTTTGTTCAGATAGAGTGGAAGAGAAAGAGAGGAAGAGAGAGAGAAACATCAATGTGAAAGGGACACATCGAGTGGCTGCCACCCGCACGACCCAACCAGGGCCAGGGACAAACTGCAACTGAGGTACATGCCCTTAGCAGGAACCGAACCTGGGTCTCTCGGGACTGCAGGCCGACGCTCTAACCACTGAGCAAAACCAGCCAGGGCTCTTTTCATTTTTTTAGAGCCATAAATTTTGTTCCTGGATCTCCTCTGGGCTTAAACTTGGTTTTTTTGTCCATAAGAGGTTCAAATAATATATTGTCTCTGGAGCACCTCCATCTGGAATTTCCAGTTTGAGTCATCAAACTCCCACCACATTTGGGTTGAGACTGTTTGCTGCAAATACATAGGGTACTTGATTTTCTTGATTATATTAGTACTGCCTTCCCTTTCATAGAATTTATTGATCTGTGTACCCGTCTTCCCAAATTTTCTTTAAAAAATTTTTTTAATCCTCACCTGAGGATATTTTTCTATTTATCTTCAGATAGAGTGAGAGGGAGAGAGAGAGAGACAGAAACATTGAAGTGAGAGGGACACGTCGACTGGTTGCCTCCTGCATGACCCCGACCAGGGCCAGGGAAACTGCAACCAAGGTACATCATGCCCTTGACCTGAATCAAACCTGAGATTCATTGGTCTGCGGATGGACGCTCTTCCGCTGAGCCAAACTGGCCACAGCCTAACTTTTCTTATGTTTTCAACAGTGACTCTGTGTCTTAGAAGCCTTCAGAAGCATCCTGTTGCCTATTAAATCAAATTTGTTCTCTTGAGACCTGACTTTCAGGACACTATATTTGGCTCCACACCACACAATCAATTTTTTATTTCCATGTATCATGTACCCTAAATGGACTCAGGCTGTCTGAAGCCTTGGCTGTGCTCTATCACTAACGGAATATGTTACTGTCTTACTATCTATATTATGTGTTTTGGCTATATCATCAGACCAAGTTGTCCAATATGGTAGCTATAAGCCACATGTGGCTATTTACATTTAAATTATTATTATTTTTTAATTTTCAGAGAGAGAAGAAAGGTGTGTGGGGGGGTTCAATTTGTTGTTTTGCTCATTTATGCATTCATCGGTTGATTCTTGTGTGTGTCCTGATCGGAGATCAAACCCACAACGATGGCATATTGGGATGATGCACTAAGCAACAGACCTACCCTGCCAGAGCCTAAATTTCAATTAATTAAAATTAAATTTTTATTTCTTTAGTTACATTAGGTAATTTTCAAGTGTTTGATAGCCACAAGAGGTTACTGCTGATCTATTGGACAGCTCAGATAGAGAATATCATTGCTGAAAGTCCTATTGGACACTGCTGGTATAAGATGCTGGTATAAGATGCGTACACACACACACACACACACACACACACACTTGCATGAGGTTTATGAGCCTTTATGGAGAGACAAAAATGACTTAAGTTCTGAAAGGGCCTGTGTTGAAATATTCTTTTGACCTAGGTTTCTCCATCTCTAAAAATGGAGCTGATAATAGTAGGGTTGTGGTGGGAATTGAGTGCCATAACATAAAGGGGCTAGAAGAGGACGTGGCACATAGGTCCACATAGGAAACACACAGTTTTAATTCTTGACACTAAAGATTATGTTTCATCTCCTTAGTCCTCAGAATGATCAAATGAGGAGGGTACTCTAACTGCTATGCAGATAAGAAAAATAAAGGCAGAGGAGTTAAGGAACCATGCCGTGGGCATAGCCAGAGAGTGTAAGAGTTGTGGCTCAAATCCAATCATCTAACTCTCGTCTTTTCCTCAACAACCCCCTTACCTTGGATACTTTTTCTCCTTAACACCTGATAAAGTTTGCATCAGGTGTTATTTATCTGTCTGTCTCTTCCACTACGAGATAAACCCCAGAAGGTCAGGGATTTTTGCGCTTTTTTTTTCACTTGTTCAGTAAATTTATTGTATATCTGAAAAATCATAGAAAATTGTAATTTGGCTTACTAGCTTTCAGCTTTCTGTTCTGAGGTCTGAGGAGGCTTGCTTTGATTTTTGTGCTTTTTGTTCACTAACCCTATCCCCTTGAACATTGTTTTGGACACAATAGGTGCTCAGTAGGTTGTTTGACTTTGGACACATCTCTTAACTTCTCTTCCCTCTCCTCCATAAAGTGAGGATAACAGAAAAAGCGCCGCACAACTGGAGCAAGATCATACTGAATGAGGAACATACATGCAATGCACATATTCGGATACACAGCCTGGAAGTAAGCGTAAGGCCAGGTTCCACACCTATCCAGAGAGCCGTACTGCGCATGCTCCGCTTCTCGCAACGCTCCCCTAAGTCCCTCCGCCTCCCCCTTGAGGCGGGGGCCGGAAGTGCAGCCGCGTCCGCTGGGCGCCGCGGGCGGAGGGACGCGCGGAGATGACGCAGGCAGCACCGGAAGCCGCTCCCCTTTGAGGTTGCGGACGGTGAGCGGCGGCCGCTGGTCCAGGTCTGTTCTGTGTACAAGGCGGGGTCGGGTTGGGGAGGGGTTTTCAGGCGCCCGCGCCTCTGCTGACCCGCCGCACCTCCGGCCGTTTGTCTTTTTCTCCCTGCAGGCGCCATGGCTGTGGAGCGGACCCGGCCGCTGCGAGGCTCTGGCGGCCCGAGCGCGCCTAATCGGTGTGAGCCCCGCGCGAGGTCCCGGGCCCCGGGGCGCTCGCTCAGGTCAGTGCCGCGTGGAACACGGCTCCGGGAGCCGGGGACCTGGGAGCGACGAACGGGTTGAAGGGATCTGGAGTTGATGTTAGAGAGGGGGAAATTGAGCCTCGGAGTTACCACCTCAGTTGCCTTAGCTACGAAATGAGTTAACAGTGATGTCCCAGGGCTGCTCTGAGTTTGAAAGATGAAGTGTGGAGAGGTGGTGTATGAAGCTAATGTGAGGGACTGCGCCATAGTTGTGGGTATGCCATGGAAACAGGTGTGTATGTGGGGTGCTGCTTGAAATAAAGGTAACACCAATAATGCTAAATAATGATGGTTACTGGCGTTTCTTGTAGGCTTACCAGTGTGTCAGGTGCGGTGCTAAACGCTTTACAGACGTTATCTTATATACAAAAACCCTTGTGGGCAATGCTGTTCATGGTTACAACTCAATTTTACAAGTGGGGTAGCTAGGCTTTTAGATGGGTGAAGTGATTTGCCCAGGGTCACCCGGCAACAGGTGGAGTTGCAGAACCCTTATTTTATTCTATTTAGATTTTTTTAAAGCTTTAAAAATTTCATCTTAAACTAAAGATGGCTTTTGAGTAGCTAGTGTATTCGCATGGTTTTCGATTAAGAAAGCGGGCCCCTTACCCCTATTCCTCAGCTCTTCAGTTTTCTCTGGAGACAACCAGTGTTAGGAACTTAGTGAATATTGAAAAGATACTCTGTGTATATGAAAGCCTCTGTACTCTTTAACTGCTGATTATATGATAAGAGAGGGAAGATGAAGTCCCCCCCCCCCAAAAAAAAAAAAATGTCTTGCTTTTTTGCTCTTTACTAGGCCAGATCCTGGTGGAGGAGAGGAAAATGCATTCACTATGTTTTACCCAGAATGCCATATCTCTAATAAGACCTAGAGGTAGAGGTTTTGTTTTGTTTTGGGAGGGTTGGGGCTGGGCAAGATGTTGAGCCTGCTGCTTCCTATGGGAACCTAGGAAAGTCACCCCACTTATTTGGCCATAAATTTCCGCATTTATTTTTATTTTTAAAAACTTCCTTGCCAGGTATTTATAATAATAAAACTAACAAAAAGTGCCATTTGAGTTTCTCTAGACTGGGCTCTGTGCTAAGCATGTCTCTATTTCTGATTTTCACAACTCTTAAGATGAATTACAGGTGACAAAATTGAAGCTTAGAGTTAATTGAACATGCCCATGATCATGTAGGAAGTGGCTGAATCAATAAAAATTTTGACTGACTTCAAAGCATTTTCATTCTGCCTTTGTATCCATTTGTCGTTGACTGTTCCCAGTAATGGGAAGCTCACCACTCTGGAGGCAGTTATTTCATTATTAAAAAGCTCTGATGATTTAAAAGCTCCTCCTTATGTTGAATTGAAATCCCGCATCCTGAAGTTTCCCCCCTTGGGGCCTCGTGCTGGCAGTACACAATACAGATTCCTAGAGGCTCTCTTCTAAAACTGTTCAGTTTAGACCTGTGGCCTTAAGAAAGTTCCCTCCAGAGTTAGTTGATTTTTTAGAAAAGTAAAAACTGGTATTGTTTTTTTCATGATGTAGACTATGTTTAATCATAAATAGAATGCTAGTTCAATATACAAGTGTAGGGGAGACCAAACTAAAATGTTCATGTTATCTAGGGGAAAGTGCAAGAAGAAATCAGAATGGTGGTTTTTAATCATGCATTCTGTTGAGTTAATGGGCCTGCTTTATTAAAATAAAGATGCCTTTTTCATGACAGTCAGAGATGAAGAACTGTGAAACAGCTTAAAGGGCAATCTCTAATTCAAGAGTTGGAAAAAAAAATTCGTAGGCATTAGGTGAATATCTAAATCTCAGAAATGGCTGGGTGTTTTTTTGTTTTTGTTTGTTTTGGTTACTCCTTACCTGAGGTTATTTTTTTTTTTCATTGATTTTGAGAGCGTGGGAGAGAGGGGAGAGAGATTGATTGGTTGCTTCCTGCACGACTCCAACCAGGGCTGGGGATCAAACCTGCAACCCATGCCCTTGACTGGAATTGAACCCCGTGATCCTTCAATCCCTGGGCTGATGCTCTAACTGCTGAGCCAAACTGGCCAGGGCATGGCTGGACTTTTTTTTTTTTTAACGATGCTCACTGGAAAGCTTGTCCTATAGTCTTCTGTGGTGTTATGTGCACATGACATGCTGTAGGATGTCTCTTAGTTATTTGTGAATGATGGGATCCTGGTAATGTTTTCATGGGTGTTATAGATTTGTCTTGTGGCCATTTAAATAACAATCCAGAGGTGAACTCTCCACCCAGTGCAAGGGGATAGGCCCAGTGAGCTCTCTGGGTTTTGTCCTGTCCCCTGCTCGCAAGAGACACTGGACAACTTTACTAGGGTGGAGGGCAAAAAAATAATAATAATAAATAAATAGCAATCAAGTTTATATAAATGTAAGCCTTTTTATGATGGATGTGTGGCATATTTTGTGTGTGTGTGTGCATGTAGGTATAAAGGAGTAGGTGTTAGAGGAAACCGTGTTCCCCCACCCCTTTTTTTTATTTATTGGTTTTAGAGAGAGAGAGGAAGGGAGAGGGAGAGAGAGAGAAACATCAGTGAGAGAGAACATCAATTGGCAGCCTCCTGCATGCCCTCCACTGGGGATTTGGCCCACAACCTGGGCATGTGCCCTTACCGGGAATTGAACCAGAGACTCTTGGAGCATGGGCTGATGCTCAACCACTGAGCCACACTGGTCGGACCCCCTTATTTTATTGTAAAAAATGATTCCTGGGCAGATGTTTAGGTGTATGTTTTTTATCAGTATTAAGTTATTAGCTGTTGTGACATTGTATGAATATTCACTGTAAAGGGTTGTTTTTGTGTTGCTATGAATGCTTTTTTTTAAGTACAAATTTTGTAGGAATGTTATGGATAGATCATCAGGATTGAGAAGTAAGAGGCTTATTATCTTGTGTTAAGTTGATAAAATTTTTGGTGAACTGATTATTTTTTGCAGCCAAGTAAATCCTTAAATTAATAAATTCTACCTAGCCCAAACCCATAGATTTCAAGAGTATTATTTTAAAGTCTATTCACTGTTCTAAAAAAGAAAACTAGATAATATAATTGGAAAGGTTTGGTTACTTCTACTGTGTTTTGCCTAATGACATTCTTGGCCAATTTGATATTGGGGAAATTAATGAGAATGGTTTTTACTCACCTCATATTAACAAAGTTGGAATATGAGATCTGGCTTTTTGTGTAAACCTGATCTAGGTGACATATATAGAAAGGAATTCATTTTCCTCTTCCATATTAATTTGGATATGCATTTAAAAATTTAGTTTGACAGCCCTGGCCAGTTTGGTTCAGCGGTTGAACGTCAGCCTGCGGACCAGAGAGTCTCGGCTTCGGTTCTCGCTAGGGGCACGTACCACCAAAAAAAAAATTTAGTTTGACAATCTGATGGAAGATTGATTAGATTAGAAGGAAAGGTTTTACTTTTTTTAATCATGGAAATGTTTAAACATATAAAAAAAGTAAAGAGAATAATAAACCTTCATCACCCAGTACTAACATCTATCAACATATGGCCAATCTTGTGAAAGATGATTTTTACTGATTTGCTTTATTTTTGTTTTTTTTTTCCATTAGTTTAGTCTCCATTGTTAAGAGTGATTTGACACCTTGACACACTGTGTAATGCTGGATACTTGTAAAAAATTGTTGTTCCAGTTAGCCCTGGAGCAGTTTGTCATTCTCCTAAGGGGTAGGTGGTATAATCAGATAGGCACAGTGCCCCCAGATCTTATCACCAGGTTGCGATGTTCCTGGTTGTTGCTGACTTCAGAGAGAGACAGCGTGGTGTGATTGAAAAATTACTGATCTTGAGAGCACTGGCCTCCAGTCTGTTCTGCTGCTATTTTAGTTGTTAACTATAGGTAAATCACTTGCCTTCTCTAACCTGGAATTTCCTTATCTGCAAAGTGGAGATGATGATACCTGGTTTTTGGTGTTTTGTAAGCATCAGGAATACTAATTTGACTTATTTGTTCAGCCTTCTAGAACCCACATGACTCTGGGGCACATGGTTAAAAGTTGTCACCAGCTCATATGAGGCTTATTAAAAACAGACTATGTAAGGCCAAATAAAGCCTTTGGTAATTCATGTTCTAACAGGCAGTACCATAAAGGAAGTGGAAGAACCAGAATACCCGAGCTACATAACTTACTAAATCTGCTGATTTTTCTTCCCCAAACCTTTATGCCTGAACATCTATTACAAAAGCCAGTAATTAGTTCTGTGATTTTTGGTAACAGTGGTCAGGTTGTGCCTGGCATGATAACTAATGTGTTAGGTTACTGCTCTAGACTTGCTTTCTGGTTGTCACATTGTGGTGCTTATTTTTGTGATTTTAATGCCTAAATAGCATATATTAAGGAAATCATGTTATGATGATTTTGAGGAAGGAGAGGTATATTGTATAGAATACATTGTTTCATAATGAATGAATGCTTTGTAAATCTTTGTGAAAATGCATGTAGCATGTGCTAGACTTCAAAAGGAGCAAGTTACATACAGCAACATAAGTTTCATTGACTTATGTTTTTGAGATCGTGATTTGTTAAAGAATGTTTTCTCAAATGTATTTTCTTTTGTGTGCATGGAAAATATCAGATATAGTGTATTAACTGTAAAATTGTAACGCAATAACTAAGCATAAAGTAATGCTAATTTTTTTACACTAATTGTTAATACTTCATTTGTTAGCAGTCTTGCTTGAACGGTCTTTTTGAGCAGAACTAATACAATATTTTGATGTGCCACAGGTAAATTTTTCCATAACCTTATGGAGAGAAAGGACTTTGAGACATGGCTTGATAACATTTCTGTTACATTTCTTTCTCTGATGGACTTGCAGAAAAATGAAACTCTGGATCACCTGATTAGTCTGAGTGGGGCAGTCCAGCTCAGGCATCTCTCCAATAACCTGGAGACTCTCCTCAAGCGGGACTTCCTCAAACTCCTGCCCTTGGAGCTCAGTTTTTATTTGTTAAAATGGCTCGATCCTCAGACTTTACTCACATGCTGCCTCGTCTCTAAACAGTGGAATAAGGTGATAAGTGCCTGTACAGAGGTGTGGCAGACTGCATGTAAAAATTTGGGCTGGCAGATAGATGATTCTGTTCAGGACGCTTTGCACTGGAAGAAGGTTTATTTGAAGGCTATTTTGAGAATGAAGCAACTGGAGGACCATGAAGCCTTTGAAACCTCCTCATTAATTGGTCACAGTGCCAGAGTGTATGCACTTTACTACAAAGATGGACTTCTCTGTACAGGTAAGAAACCTTGGAACTGTCCCCCCGCCCCATCAGCAGTGATTTTTTGGGGGAAATCAGTGGAAAAGCTTAGTCTAGTTCAAGCAAGTAGTTAGATCATCTTGGAAAAATTATATAACCTCTCTGTGTTTGATTCCTTCTTTCTCTATACTGTATGGGAGGGGAGGTGTTTCTTTCTTGTTCTAAATTCCTGTGGTGCTAAGAAGAATTAGACATTAAGAGTTTGGGCATGGGAGCAAAGACAGTGAATATTTTACAACTAGACAAGTAAGTAACTTTATATAATAGATATCATTAAAATTTAGAATTATGTATATCTTCCAATTATATTGGGCCTGTGTTTCTACATATGATTATAATCAGTGCCCACATTTCAGGCAATACATTTTGACAGGCATTGTAAGTTATTCTTAGGCAGTATTTCAAATGGCTTTTAACAGTCCTTATCGGTGACCCTTAATGCCTATTCACTTTCATTGTATATAACATATAGGTATACTCTGTGTTCTTCTTCATCCAAGATAATTTGTAGTAAACATTTGAATATTACCTAAACTATGTAGTTGCCATTTTTAATAGTATAGAGTGTTCTTTTGTGTAAATATAGCATCATTGTGTGGCTATTTCCATATTAGTGCATATTCAGATTATTATTTTTTTATCCTCGAGGATATTTTTTTTCCTTTTCTTTAATCTTCAGATAGAGCAGGAGGGAGAGAGGAAGGAAAAGAGAGAGAAACATCGATGTGAGAGAGACACATCAACCAGCTGCCACCCATGACCCCAACTGGGCCGGGTACAAACTGCAACCGAGGTACATGCCCTTAGCGGGAACCGAACCCAGGACTCTTCAGTTCGTGGGCCAACGCCCCAACCACTGAGCCAAACTGACCAGGGCAGGTTATTTCTTTTTCTTATGAATATTTTTGTTTGCATTTTTTTCTTGAATTATTTATTCAGGGCAGCAGCCTCAAAGTAGAATCACCAGATCCAGAAATATGAATGATTTTATAGCTCCTTTTAGTGTCCTTTCCAGATAGATTGAATTGATGCCATGCCTACAGCAGTCTTAAATAACCTGCTTCTCCCTCAGAGTCCTACTAGACTCACTTTTAATAATTTTTGATAGTTAAGAGGTATATTATTTCTCATGATTATTTAAAATTTTTCTTTCTTTTCTCTTTTCTTTTCTCTTTTCCCTCCCTCCCTCCCTCCTTCCCTCCCTCCCTCCTTCTTTCCTTCCTTCCTTTAGAGTGGGAGGGAGGGAGGGAGGGGGAGAGAGACAGAGAGAAACATCAATGTGATAGAGCCACATCGACTGGTTGCCTCCCGCATGACCCAACCAGGGCCGGGGATGAACCACAACTGAGTTACGTACCCTTGACTGGAATTGAACCCACAACTCATTGGTCCGTGGGCCGACGCTTTAACCACTGGGAGCAAAACTTCCCAGGGTGTAAACTTTTTATTTCTTATTCATTGAGGAGAGAGATGTGTGTGTGTGGCGTTATATTCTCTAGAATACTAGATACTTTGTTATATAAAGTAAACATTAAATTTAAGGCACTTTTTGGTTTTGTTTGTCATACTGAAGTTACTCCATGCTTACATTATTTTCCTATAAGCCTCATTATTATAGTATCGTCTGTTCTTCTGTAGTTTGATGTACTTCCCAGTTGTGATGGCTTTTCCATGTCCTTTTTACCTCATGATCAGTGGTGGGTATTTAAAAAATTTTTTAAAGATTGTGATACAGTATTAACTTTGAGCTTGGTACTCATTTACACTTAGGTAAATACTGGCAGTTGACTCATTTGCAGACCCACCTCTAGCTTTTAAAAAAAAAATTATCATCAAACTTTACTTTTGAAATACAATAAAAACTTTGATTACTTGGAGCAGAAGTAAATGGGATACATTCACTGAATTATTTAACTACCCAGAAAGTTAATATCTACAATAACTAGACCCAACCCTTGCTTTTAAGATTATTCTCTAGGTGGTTCTCTGTGTTCTATCATTTTAATTCTGATTAAATTAATCAGGTTTGCATATTGAGAGTCATGCTGTGTCTGTTGAAAATGATCCAAAACATTAGTTTAATTTTTCTAACAAGCTTTCCTGGGACTGTTAGTGAGAGAAGTGTTTGTTACAGAATTACATAGGCATACCTTCCTTGTTTTATTGTGCTTCGCAGATACTGCCTTTTTTTTTTTTTAACAAATTGAAGGTAAGACCCTCTACCAGCAAAAAGATTATGACCCGCTGAAGGCTCAGATGATGGTTAGCATATTTTAGCAATAAAGTATTTTTTAATTAAGGTATGTACATTGCTTTTGTGTTTTTGTTTTTTGGCACATGCTATTGCACACTTAATAGACTATAGTGTAAACATAACTTTTATATGCACTGGAAAACCAAAAAATTTGTATGACTTGCTTTATTGTGGTGGTCTGGAACCAATCCCACAATGTCTCTGAGGTATGCCTGTACAAGTGTTTGTGTCATCTTGTCACTTAAGAGGTTGTATTTTTCACCGTGGTTGAATTGGGAAATTCCGTATTTGGAAATAAAGTTATAGTGGCTCTCAGATTAGACCTTTGAACAGCAATAAAATAGTATTGCCAAAAAGATTTATGGCTAATGCTAAAATTAACATAGTACAGATTGAATGGGGTCATTATCCTGGTCATTTCTGAAATGGTAAGAAAGGATCCTGTTATTCTTTGTGCTGTTCAGAAGGTATTTATTTATAAAATACCGTCTATGTGAAAGACGATGTGAAGGCATATGTAGCTAAAATGGGACAGAGAACATACACACTGGAATCAGAAAGGTAACCTGGTTAAATAAAAGTCTCCATGTGGACTATGGCTGATCAGAAAACACCTGCCCTTCTAGAGGGTAACTGCTGCTCCATTGTAGTGAATTATTGCCATGTGAGAGTCAGGCTCAGAGTTGTCAGATCTGATTTTTAAGAGAAGTCCAACATCTAGATTTTTTGTGAAATATCCTGATTTTTAAAGTGCTGATTTTTTAAGTATTATTCACATTTGAAAAATATTGTGGTTGGGTCATAGTCACCCTGCAAGCTACTCTATTGTGACATCTGGCTTATAGTCAAGAAAAACAAGAGCTATAAAAGAGGCATGATCAAATGATATAGTTGAAATGTATAAGAAGAAATTCATTTAGTTGTTCAGGAGGAGTGATTTCTTCCATTTGAAAATTGAGCAGCATGTTTATGTTGAGTCTTGAAGAATGGGTAGACTTTAGAGAGATGAGATTCAAAGTAGAGGCTTTCCATTAGGAAGATGAGCATTAGCAAACATATAGGGCTGAGCATGGAGCATGTAGAGAGAAAATTCATTTTAGTTGGACTCTTAGGATATAAGTAGGGACTCTTAGACTATATAATAATAGGCTTGGGCTGTGTTGTGAAAGCCTTGCATGCTGGGAACATGAGTTTAGATAGTTTTCTATAAGCAGTAAGAAAAAAAGATGAAAGATTTTTGAGCAGAAAAAGGGCCAGGATCAGAGCTTTCTACGTCAAGTAGAACAGTGTGTCTTATTTCTGTTAGACCCAGAAAATGAAGGAATAAACTTGAGAGGGTAGATGGAGTTCAGTTTGGGATGAATTTGATTCAGTTTGATGTGTAAGTGGAGATTCCCACAGGTATCTGGAAATGCAGGATCAAAGCTTTGGAGAGTACTCAGAGCTAGAGAGAAAGATTTAGGAGTTAGTCACATCACAGCTTTGGCTATAACAGTGAAATTTTAAAAGGAGATGTATAGAGAGGAAAAAGAATAGAGCCTAGGGTGGACCCTTGAAGAGTATACTTAGAGAAAGAAACGGCACTGTGATGAAAAGAGTTTCAAGGAGAATGAAAATTGCCTGTCTTAAAGGTAACTGTTTATTCAGTTGGTCTGCAGAGTCAGTAGCCTCAGACAGGCAGATGAGAGTTGAGATCTGGTTCCACAAGTTAAATATTTAAACTTAGTTTGATACGATAGTTAATTCCATTTGTGTTCAGCTCATTTTTCTGCTTACCTTTGTTACATAACCATCCCTGTAAATTTTTTTATATCAAAGTATTGTTTTCTGAACTGAGGGGGCTTTTTGTTTTTTTTTAAATCCTCACCTGAGGTTATTTTCTCTTTTTATCTTCAGATAGAGTGGGAGGGAGAGAGAGGAATAGAAAGGGAGAGAGAGCCCTGGCCGGTTTGGCTCAGCGGTTGGAGCGTCGTCCTGCGGTCCAGAGACCCGGGTTCGGTTCCCGCTAAGGGCACGTACTTCGGTTGCAGTTTGTCCCCGGCCCTGGTTGGTTGTGCGGGTGGCAGCCACTCGATGTGTCCCTTCACATCGATGTTTCTCTTTCTCTCTCTTCCTCTCTCTCCCTCCCGCTCTATCTGAACAAAAAATGGAAAAATGTCCTCGGGTGAGGATAAAAAAAAAAAAGAAGAAGAAAGGTAGAGAGAGAGAAACATCGACCTAAGAGGGACACATTGACTGGCTGCCTCCCGCACGACGCCAACCAGGGCTGAGTATGTGCCCTTGGCCAGAATCAAACCCCATGATTCATTGGTCCACAGGCCGATGCTCCACTGCTGAGCCAAACTGGCCAGGGTGAGGGGGCTTTTTATTTCTTACATCTAATGAAAAATAGTCTATTTTTACTTAGTTCCCTTTTGTTTTTAGGCTGCATTTTTTGTTGTTGTTTTTTTTTAACAATAGTTTATTGGTTTTTAGAGAGTGAGGAAGGGAGAGGGAGAGAGAGAGAGACATTGATGTGAGAGCACAACATCAGTCGGCTTCCTGCCGGGGATCAAGCCCACTACCTGGGCATGTACCCTTGACCAGGAATCGAACTGGCAACAACCTGGTGCACAGGACAATGCCCAACCAACTGAGCCACACTGGCTAGGGCATAGGCTACATCTTTGATGACCTCTTTGAAAACATGTGGGTCTAGTCAGTGTAGCAAATGGGAATCCATAGGGAAGGTTGACATAAAGCCAAAAATGAGCAGAGAATAATGGCTCCTAAAGACTTAGCAATTAAGAGTAGGCTTGTCCCACTGGAACTCAACTTGATTGTTTTCCTCAGTTTTTTAGGATATAAAACTGAATGGCCCGGTGTTTTCCTATGTAAACTAGATTAAACTCTCCCTTTTAAAAAGTCAAATTGTGAGCCCTGGCCGGTTTGGCTTAGCAGTTAGAGCATCGGCCTGTGGTCCCGAGAGACCCGGGTTCAGTTCCCGCTAAGGGCATGTACCTCGGTTGCAGTTTGTCTCCGGCCCTGGTTGGGTCATGTGGGTAGCAGCCACTTGATATGTTCCTTTCACGTCGATGTCTCTCTCTCTCTCTCTCTCCTCTTCTCCCTCCTGCTCTATCTGAACAAAGAAAATGGAAAAAAATGTCCTCGGGTAAGGATTAAAAAAAATAAAATAAAAGTCAAATTGTGATAAAATATATATAACATAAAATTTATCATTTTAACCATTTTTAAATGTATAGTTCAGTGCTGTTAAGTACATTCACATTGTTGTAGAAACATCACCACCATTCGTCTCCAAAACTTCCCAGTCTGAAAGTGTACTCATTAAACACTGACACTCTTCTCTCCTCACCCCAGCACGTGGCAACCACCGTTCTACTTACCGTCTCTGAATTTGACTATTCAGGTATCTCATATGGGTGGAATCATACAGTATTTGTTCTTTTATGACCAACTTATTTCACTTAGCATATCTCCAAGATTCCTCCATGTTGTAGCATATGTTAGAATTTCTTTCCTTTTTTTTTTTTAAATACATTTTTTAAATTCTCACCTGGGGACATTTTTGCATTTATCTTCAGATAGAGTGGGAGGGAGAGACAGAGGAGGAGAGAGAGAGAGAAACATCGATGTGAGAGAGACACATTGAGTGGTTGCCACCCACACGACCCCAACCGGGGCCAGGGACAAATTGCAACTGAGATACGTGCCCTTAGCGGGAACTGAACCCGGGTCTCTCTGGTCCATGGGCCGACACTCCAATTGCTGAGCCAAACCAGCCAGGGCAGAATTTCCTCCCTTTATAAGGTTGAATAATATTTCATTATATGTATATACCAAATTTTGTTTATCCTCTCTCCTAGTGTTTAGCCTTCCTGCCTCCAGTTTTGCAAACCATTTTCTATGATATAGTCATAGTGATCTTTCAGAAATGTAAATAAGGTCATAGTTAGATATCCTCCTGATCCAGTTCTCTAACTAGACCACTACTTTTGTAGTTAGTATCAATGTTTTAGACAGTGCATTTTGATGAGCATTGTCAATAATTTCTAGACAGTTTTTAGAATGGTTCAAGTAGTTCTTGATGAATTGACACCAGTCTGTCTTCACATATATGTGTATAATATGTAGAGATACTTAGTAGCTACTTTAATAGGTGTATATCAGGGGTTTGCAAACTACAAGCTGCAGGGCCAAATCCAGCAGAGTAGAGTAATTCCTAAAGAGATGTGGCTCAAAAAGCCTAAAATATTTACTCTCTGGCCTTTTACTGACCTTTGGTATATACTGTTACTTTAGATTTCAACTAGTTAAAACTTGAAAGTGTTTTCAAGTAACGAAATCTCTTCTTCAAACAATCTTATGCCAAAGCTCAGCTTAAAAACAAATGAGAGTATAGTTGAGCCAATCATGCATCCCCTAGGTGTATTTGTGGACCACCTAGAGATGTTGAGGAGCACAGTTGTAAACTCCGGGAGCTTCATCTGAGGCATTTTCTCCTTTTGTCCCCTTTTTGTATTTGCCATGGGCTTTTGTACTGCCCACCACTTACTGTACTGAATTATTATTGCTTGTTTAGCCATTTTGTCTTCCCAAGTAGACTAAGCACCATGAGAGCAGGAGCCAGCCTTGCCTGACATAGAAGTTCTGTAAATACAGGTTGAATGAATGAATGAATGAATGTGATCCCAGTTGAACCCTGGTAATAAATCAGAACCATGGTCAGCTAGATCCTAAGATGATTTCCTGCTTTAGCTCCCTAGGAACACAGTCACAAAATGCCTAAACTGAAAGATTATCTAGACCTGTGCTGTCCAGTAATATAGTAGCCACTAACCACTTAATGGCTTTTGAACACTTGAGATGTGGCTAGTCCAAACTGAGATGTGAAATGTGAAATACTCATTATTGGGTTTCAAAGATGTAGCATATAAAATATTTTATTAATAATTTTTACATTGATTAATGTTGAAATAATAATTTGACATTATTAAACTATATTAAAAGTTTTCCTGTTTAAGTAAATAATAGAAAAATTTAAATTATTAATGTGGCTTGCATTATAGTTTTGCTGAACAGCACTGTTTTAGAACATTGATTCTCAAAATATTGTTCATGCATTAGAATCACTTAGCAAGCTTTTAAGATCATTGGACCCCACCTCATATATTTGTTTAGAATTTCTGAAGTAGAGCTCTGCATGTATGCTTTGATAAAGCTCCCCAGATAATTCTGATGTCTTATATACCCACTGAGAACCACTAGCCAAGACCAACCCCTTATTATTTATAGATAGGAAACAGATTCCCTAAATAGTAAAGTCTCCATTTCAGTATGTTCTCATAGTGTTTGCCCAAGTTAAAGTTCATGCTCTTTTTCATAGTGGTAGCTATTTTTCCATTGTCTGAAACAGTGGCTCTTGACCAACCCATAGAGGTAGAATTGTGGCTGGCTTTATTTAGTCTTTTCAGCTTTTTTGAAAATTGGTCATTTGGTGCTTTCCTAGAATACTGTGTCCTTATCATAGTGAAGATATTTGTGTTCCTGAAGTGTTCTCTGATTTTTATTATTTTCTAGTCAAAAGGTAAATTGTGAGATATGAATTAATCATTAGGATTTTAAATTAAAACGAAATTCTGAATTGTTATCATGATCAGTATATTTTCATCAGAGGCAGAAATGAAACCTACTTTTTTCTACAGAATCTTAAGAGGGTTTATAAGCTCATTGTTGAGTTGTTGTGAATGTCTGGGAATAGTTTACCCTTGGTTATCTTAGAGGTTCCTTTACACATTTCATGATGGTTCAAGAAATTAACGGTTAACCTTTTCAGAAGTTAAGCCATGACCTGAGGCTCCTCTTTGACTTACCTTAGAGTAGAATATGTTCCAGCAACAGCTTTACTATTCAATATTCTTTATTTGTTCAGGATTGTTGGGTAATGGACAAACATGCAAGTGTACACACGCAATCATAGGTAATACCCATCATTTCAAGCTCAAATCAGAGCTCATGATGGTGAAAGATTTATGACATTTATAAGTAGAAGCACCAAGGGATGCTTTACTCTAACACTTCTCTATAATCTAGAAAGTTAAGGGAAAGGGACTAAACTTAAAGGCTTACATTCAGCCCCCATGCTTTTAACACCATTTTGGTGACTCTGAGCAAGTCATGTTGTTCTCTCCCTATTTTTGTTTTCTCTGCTATAAAGTAGGAGTGATAGAGGAGGTGACCGCTGAGGTTCTTCTTTAAGAATACCATGGTTTGGGGATTGGATTTCCTTCCTCAGTGTTTGTTTTCATACTAATCTCACTGTTTTTCTTTTGAAGGGTCAGATGACTTGTCTGCAAAACTATGGGATGTGAGCACAGGGCAGTGTGTTTATGGCATCCAGACCCATACTTGCGCAGCAGTGAAGTTTGATGAGCAGAAGCTTGTGACAGGCTCCTTTGACAACACTGTGGCCTGCTGGGAATGGAGTTCCGGAGCCAGGACCCAGCACTTTCGGGGGCACACAGGGGCGGGTGGGTTGCCCTTTTCCAAGGGTTTCTCTAGTTACATTAACCTCATTCCTTAAATCCAGGAGCCAACATGTGATTCCTTTTTTTGTTTTTTTAATTTAACTTGGCTGTCACCCATCTTCATTCTCAGTCATGACAGTTAATTCCTTTATTCAAGTTATTCTTTTTTAAAAATATTTTTTTTATTAATTTTTTTAGAGAGCGAGGAAGGGAGAGAGAGAAACATTGATGTAAGAGAGAACCATCAGTCAGCTGCCTCCTGCATGCCCCCTACTGGCATCAAGCCGGCAACCCAGGCATGTGCCCTGAATGGGAATCAAACTGGGACCTCTCAGTCCATGGGATTGATCCTCAACCCACTGTGCCACACCATCTGGATGTAGCTTATGTTCTTGATGTTTTGTCTGACTGCAATAAATAGTGCAAATATGACAAGGATCACTTGTGTTCTATTTTTCCTGCATAAGCTAGATAAGTTTTATGTAGTACTAGGCAGACAGTCCTGAGAAGAAATGCCATTATCTCCAATGCTGGTTTTGCCTCTCATTTTGAGGCTAACACAGGCAGAAGAGATTCTATTAGTCCAGGAACTTTTCCATCCTTAGAATAATAAACAATAATAATTTTGAAATAGATGTTTTTTATCATAAAGTTGCTAGTTGAGTAGTACCATTCATATCGTAGCTTTGATTGAAAAATTATAAAATTGGGCAGCTAGGGAAAGTAAGTGCTATTGAATTCTATTATAAAAGACTCAGGCGTGTTTTTAAATAGATGTATTTTTTATCATAAAGTTGCTAGTTGAGTAGTACCATTCGTATCTTAGCTATGGTTGAGAAATGATAAAATTGGGCAGCTAGGGAGAGTAAATGCTATTGAATTCTATTATAAAAGACTCAGACAGGCATGTTTTAACTTGTGTCTGTTATATGTATTAGTGTTTAGTGTTGACTACAATGATGAACTGGATATCTTGGTGAGTGGCTCTGCAGACTTCACTGTGAAAGTATGGGCTTTATCTGCTGGGACATGCCTGAACACACTCACCGGGCACACGGAATGGGTTACCAAGGTAGGAAGACTTCCAAAAGAAATCTCTGTAATGTCAGGCTTCTTGAGAGTGGGGTGGAGGATGGTACACACTGCCTTAGAAGGGCTGGGTGAGCCATAAGGTGGAATAGATGTAACTACAAAGCATGGTGGTGTACAATAGTGACCAGCACATAACACTGTAAATATGAATAGCTTATGGACATGGAAAGATGCCCACAATATAGTCGGTGGGTACATGGAGCAAATAAAGCAGGTCACATACAAAAAAAACTATGTAGAGTATGATACCAGTTTCTGAATGTGTTTATGCACCAAGTTGTTGAAGGTGATTATTTCTTGTGGAATTGTGGGACCTTTTTTCCATTTAGGGTAAGCGTCTTTCTTTCTTTCTTTCTTTCTTTCTTTCTTTCTTTCTATCTTTCTATCTTTCTTATCTTTCTTATCTTTCTTATCTTTCTTATCTTTCTTATCTTTCTTTCTTATTTTTATCCTCACCCGAGGACATTTTCCCATTTTTTTGTTCAGGTAGAGTGGGAGGGAGAGAGAGGAACAGAGAGAGAGAGAGAAACATCGATGTGAAAGGAACACATCGAGTGGCTGCCACCCGCACGACCGACCAGGGCCGGGGATAAACTGCAACCGAGGTACGTGCCCTTAGCGGGAACCGGACCCGGGTCTCTCAGGACCGCAGGTCGACGCTCTAACCGCTGAGCCAAACCGGCCAGGGCAGCGTATTTCTTTCTTAATCAAAAGCAGCTTTCATTTTGAAAAGGAAAATAATTGCAAGAAGTAGGACAAATAAACATGTATAGTATCTTTAAAAGAATTTTGTGATGTTTTCAAGTTTTCAATGAACAATTGTTATGAAGATGAAATGCAGTATTAATAATGGAAGTGCCATGCAGAAACATTTGAACTTAACCATACTATTCTCTGAGGGGCTGAGGATACAGGAGTGAGCCACACAGACTAATGCCTGACATGAATGTTAGTTTAGTAGGAGAAATAGTTATTAAATAGTAACTTCATGTATATATACATAATTACAAATTGTGTTAAGTACTATGAAGGAAAATCGCTGTGTTGTGTGAGAAAATCTAGGAAGGTATCTACTTCGTTCAGGGAAAGCTTTTTGAGAAGGGACAAAATGTGAAGAGTAAATTGGAGGTAGCTGTTTAAAGAATAGTGGAATGTTTCAGAGGATGCAGTATAGCACAGTCCCTTGGGATGGAAAGAACCAAGAACATTTGAAGCCCAGTGGAGTTATGCTGTTCTTGGAGGAGGTGTAAAACAGTGGCCATCATGTATGCCTTACTTGGCCATATTAAGGATTTTGGATATTGTAAGTGTAGTAGGAAGCAATTGTGAGTTCTGTGCAAGAGCCTGGTGTGATTCATGTTTTAAGAAAATAACTGCTTCCTGGTTGGGTAGGTCAGTTGGTTAGAGCATCATCCTTATACATCAAGGTTGCAGGTTTGATCCCCGATCAGGGCACACACAGGAAGAAAATAACTGCTTAGTAAAAAAATGGGTTCAGCCCTGGCCGGTTTGGCTTAGCGGTTAAAGCATCAGCCTGCGGTCCAGAGAGACCCGGGTTCGGTTCCCGCTAAGGGCATGTACCTCGGTTGCAGTTTGTCCCCGGCCCTGGTTGGTCGTGTGGGTGGCGGCCACTCGATGTGTCCCTTTCACATCGATGTTTCTCTCTCTCTCTCCCTCCTGCTCTATCTGAACAAAGAATGAAAAAGTGTCCTCAGGTGAGGATAAAAAAAAAAAAATGGGTTCAAGTGGGGCATGAATGGATATAGGTGGCTATGTAGGCTTTTGCAGTATTCTAAGCAAAAGATGTCCGTGGCTTGGACTTGGGTAACAATAAAGAAAAAGAAGGGCACACATGAAGGGTATTGTCTTTAAGATAAAGCCAATTGAACTTACTAACTCCTGGAGAACAAAGAAGAAAGAGTCAGAGGTGACCAGTGGATTTTAGATTAGGTGGTGATTGTGTCTTTCTGAAATAGGTGGAGCTAAAGGAGAGCAGTTTGTGAGGTCAGTAATAGCACTGAACTGTAAAAATGGTTAAGATAGTAGATTTTATGTGAATGTGTATTTTACCACAATAAACAAATTGGGGGAAAATATTTCTGTATTGGGCACATTTAATATTTATTTATTTATTTTCTGTAAGAGGGTAAGGGGCACATTTAGTATTTAAAGAGAGAAGTTATAGAAGGCAATTTGGTGTTGTGTTAAAAACAGTGGACTTGGGGCCAAGACTCTGACTACGATGTCTCAGATAAGTTCTTCCTCCTTTTAGCGTCTGAGTTTCATCATCTGCTAAATGTTCCTGTAAATATTAAATGAGATGATGGAACAGAACCCAGTAGGGTGCCTGGCCCTTAGCAGGCCTGTCAGTTTCAGCTGAATGAGCGACCCAGGCTTCTGAATGAGTAAGCCTGGCCTTTGTGCTGATTTATTACAAAAACAACTAGAACCTAGTATTTATGGATTCCCCCAAGTGTTAGTGGAATGTTGGCTTTTATGACATTTTATTGTTATTTACATTGTTTTATTTCATTTTCATTGCAATTATGAGAGTTAAGTGCCTTATCCCCTATTTTAAAGATGAGGAAACCGAGAAAGAGGTTAGATGGTCTTGTCCAACATTACAAAGAAAATATATGTCAGATTCTGGTCCTAAGCCCAGTCTTTTTTTCTTTATAATTCACATGCTTATAAAAACAGGTGATTTGTGTCTGCTCTGTGTCTGTGGGCTTTTTTACTTTCCTGTTCCTCACATTTCCTATAAAAGTAACAAATTAAAAATTTTAGAATCAGTCCTAATGTTTGCTTCCAGACTAAAGCCAAGTTTAAATGCTGCCAACATTAGACACTTTTAGATCCTGCTGATTAAAATCCTACTGGTTGTAGTAAAACTTAGTAGAGGTTAAGTTGGTTTTAGAATTAATAACTCATCTATTCTAGCATACAATATAATTTCAAACTCAAATATACATATACATATATATGTGTGTATATATATTTTAAAGCAATATAGGAGTACCATTAAGAGGATCTTTTTGTAACATGTATATTTATATTTCTAGGTGGTTTTGCAGAAGTGCAAAGTCAAGTCTCTCTTGCACAGTCCTGGAGACTACATCCTCCTAAGTGCAGATAAATATGAGATCAAGGTAAGGTTTTTTTCTCTATTATTTGCCTTATCAAAGAAAAACTGGCAAATATAAGAACATTAAAATTAAATTAAAATGAAAATTTTAAGGTAGACAGGAATGTCGTAGTTCAAGGCATCTTAAACCCATTGGAAAGATAATTATTTACTATTTCTATGTTCTAGACAGTTTTCTAGCCCTGAGTTTTAAATGAAGAAAAGAAAATCCACAGAAAATAATCTTTAACATATTCTGTTTTTTTAAGACATGTATCCTTTGCTCTCCTCAATTCTTAGGTTCAGACTATGAAAACAAACATTTACTTGTGTAATGATTTACAAAATTTGCAAAAAGTTAACAGCACTTATATATGTTTTTAGTACAACTTTTAAATTGTTCCTCGTGGTAGGCATTATTATCTTCATTGTGGGAACTGAGGTTCAGAGAGGTTAAGTATTTTATCCAAAATAGCACAGCACATACATGCAGAGTCAGCGTTTGAACCCATGCCTCTCAACTGTAAAACCCATGTCCTTTCCAGTTTACTTCACTTTGTATCTGACTTCAGCAAATAAAAACCACATTCAGGACAAGTTTTTCTGTGGTGATGTGATCTGTCATCATTTCGAATTTTCTTTTATCTATAGATTTGGCCAATTGGGAGAGAAATCAACTGCAAGTGCTTAAAGACATTGTCTGTCTCTGAGGATAGAAGTATCTGTCTGCAGCCAAGACTTCATTTTGATGGCAAATACATCGTCTGTAGTTCGGCACTGGGCCTCTACCAGTGGGATTTTGCCAGTTATGATATTCTCAGGTAGTGCTTCCTTGGACCTTTACCTTTGACAGTTCATTGCATTTCTTTATTTTTTTGTTGTTGAGGTTTAATAGTAAAGACAAAACACAATATTGGGTAAACCAGTCAGTAACTTGCTTTTGGAAAATCTTTACATCAGTTGAAAACATCACACACAAAAATGTTGTAGAGGCATTATTAGAAAGGGGGATTATATGTTAGAACCTAATTGATCTAGGATCTAATCCCTCCCTTTACTGTGAGTCACTGCCCTCTTCAGAAGGTAATATGTTTTTCTGAACAATGAGAGTCTTGGATGGAAAGATCTTTCACATCTCTACTTCTAATACTTTAATTTTTACTTCCTAGTTAGTTAAAATTCTTTATTGAAGGATTGAGTGGCCTTCTGTTAACCAGTAGAAACACGGGTATTTAGAGAAAAAAGATTTGCATGGTTTCTTTTTAGAGAAATAAATAAAAGGTCCATGGATAAATAATTTTGTGATTCTCTACATACCATAGACCCCTTTTGGAGATTGGCAGTATCTGTTAGCACATTGGAGGCTGATGGAAGCCAGTGCCATATGGTGATTAAGAGAACTTACTTTGGTGATAAACCTGGTTTAAGACCTAGGGCCATATCTTATGAGCTGTGTGATATTATTTAAGTTTCTTAACCTCTGCCTCAGTTTCTCACCTGTAAAGCAAAGATTAAATGAAATGCCTGTAATGAAGACCTAGCACAGGACCTGGCAGATATTTATTACTAATATCTTTGAGAAATTCTACATAAAGAAACCTGTTTGAATTTGTTTAATCTACTGTTAAACATAGTGCATAAATAGCTCATAGTACTTAAAGCTCTTTTTTTTTTGAGGAACACTTATTAACAGCTCACAGAGTTAGTGTTCCACAGTGTGGTTCAGGAAATGCTGGCTTGGGGAAGTACAGAAAATTGAACATTCTCTCTATTGTTTTTATGCATGACTGTTTGAGGCCAACTCATATGGCATCTGATCATACTAGCCAACAGGACTTTGGTGGGCCCTGTCTCTCTCCTCATAAAGTTATAACCCCATTTATGTCTCCCTACATCAGACCTACATTTCTAACCAGCTACATTTCCAAGCTGTCTGTGCTTTGAGGAAAAAAAGACCAGAACAGATCCTGGAAAACACTAGTCCAAGCCCCCTCTCCCCGCCTTTTATTTTTAATATTTTTTTCTCTATTGATTTTAGAGAGGGAGGGAGAGAGAGAAACATCAAGAGAGAACATTGATTGGCCACCTCCTGCATGCCCCCCACTGGGGATTGGTCCCACAACCTGGACATGTGCCCTGACCGGGAATCGAACTGGCAACCTCGTGGTGCATGGGTTGACACTCAACTAGTGAGCCACAGCGGCCGAGCCACCCCCCCCCACCTTTTTAAAATCCTCACCCGAGGATATTTTTCCATTTATCTTCAGGGAGGGAGGGAGAGAGGGAGACATTGATGTGAGAGAGACATCAATTGGAAGGAGGGAGGGAGGGAGACATTGATGTGAGAGAGACATCAATTGGTTGCCTACCACACGACCCTGACCAGGGGGCCGGGAACTGAACTGCAACTGAGGTATGTGCCCTTGACTGGAATTGAACCCATGACTCTTTGGTCTACAGACCAATGCTTTAACTGCTGAGCCAAACTGGCCAGGGCCTAGTTCAAGCTCTTCATCTTAGTATAGATGTAGAAACTGAGGCTGAGAGAGCATAGGGGTCTTGCCCAACACCGCACAGCACACCCTAGTCCAGCATCCAGCGCCCGTCCATCCATCCATTTATCCATGGCTGGATCATCCAGCAAGCATGTGCTTAAGACACCAGCAAGTCAGAGAGAAGGAACTTTGAAAGAACTTGATGGACCTGTCCAGTTTGCCTCAGCGGCTAGAGTGTTGGCCTGTGGTCCAGAGAGACCCGGGTTTGGTTCCTGCTAAGGGCACGTACCTCAGTTGCAGTTTGTCCCCGGTCCTGGTTGGGTCATGCGGGAAGCAGCCACTCAATGTGTCCCTTTCACGTCGATGTTTCTCTCTCTTCCTCTCTCTCCCTCCCGCTCTACCTGAACAAAAAATGGAAAAATGTCCTTGGGTGAGGATAAAAAGAAAAAAAAAGAAAAGAAAAAAAGAGAAAGAACTTGATACTTTGCAAAGAAAAATATCCAAATAGTCACCATGAAGAAATTAGATCTTTTATAGTTTGGTGTTTATATTTTGAATTAAAATTTGGGCAAGGGGGGGCGGGTGCAAAGGCAAGGTAAAATAGAAGTATCGTGATTTTTTTAAAGCTTAGAGTCTCTGGAGGTTTTAATATCCTTTTTCATGTATGCTTCTTACTCAGAATATACAGTATAGAGAGTTCAGAGTCCCAGTGGAAGTTTTTTTAGCTTTTGGTATTTGGATCCACTAGCTTTAAATAATACACCGACAAGATTATTTGTTGCTGGGAATTTCTAGGTTCAGATTTTTCTTTGAGGTCTGTTTTATCTCTTACTCCTCTGACCCCCACCCCCAACACAAATAAATCAATCTCTTTTGAAATCTTTGTACAAATCCTTTGGCCTCAGTTGCTCAGACCAGGTGGGGTTACTTTCTTCTTTGAAGTTAATTGAAAAGAAGCAAAGCACAGCATATTGCTCAATTCCTCTAAGATGCAGTCAGTTGAGCTCGGTAGTATCAGTATAGCAGGCAGGGTTATTTAGGTTTAAGGGCCTAGACTGCACCACAGGGATGTCCTTTTACAATTGTAAAGTCATCAAAAGGGCATTGCTTGACAGGGTGAGCCTGTCAAGACTTGTATTCTATTCTGCAACATATTTGTGCTTTAGTCTTGGGAGTCAGCTCACCTTTACCAGGTTAAAGTCTTATCCCCTAGCCATCCAATTTTCTTTTTTTTTCTTTCTTTTTTTTTTTTTTTATCCTCACCCGAGGACATTTTTCCATTTTTTGTTCAGGTAGAGTGGGAGGGTGAGAGAGGAACAGAGAGAGAGAGAGAAACATCGATGTGAAAGGAACACATCGAGTGGCTGCCACCCGCACAACCAACCAGGGCTGGGGACAAACTGCAACCGAGGTACGTGCCCTTAGCGGGAACCGAACCCGGGTCTCTCAGGACCACAGGCCGATGCTCTAACCGCTGAACCAAACCGGCCAGGGCTAATTTTCTAAGTTTCTGATTATTTCCTGCTTTGCATTGATGATGTGGGACTTACTAGACTTTCTTGCTGTTCTTCCCAGTTTCTTTTGGATCTCTTTTTAGGAATTTTTATTTGTCTGTGTTTGTTGCACCATTGCTCTGTTCATTAGCAGATATTTATCAAGTACTTACCTGTGTGTTAGGCATTGTGATAGTACCTTTGGAACCAGCAGAAATACTTACCAGACTGGTGGAAATCACTAGCCAGCAGAAGGGAAGACTGACATTAAATAGCTAATTATATACAGATGTTCTAATGGTTGGGCTAAGAGTAACATAGTATCGGGTACTTTGAGTTTCCTCCTAGTTTGAGGAGTAAGGGAAAGCTTCCTTGAGGTAGAGGTTTGGGCTGAGCTCTAAAGTGTATTTGCATTAGCTCAGTGCCAGGGACATGCAGTAGGGAGCATTGTAGACTGAGAGACCAGTCTGTTCAGGGGCCCTGAAGACTGAGCCTGGTGCATTTGAGGAACTGAAAGAAGACCGGTGTGGTTAAAAGTGTAAGTTTAGTGGAGAGCCATAGAAAGGTTTAAAAATGTAAAGGAGGTGGTAATAGGATTAGAGTTTAGTGTGAGGTTAACTGATTGAAAGAGGCCAAGAGTACATATGGGGAGAGCAATTGAAAACTCTTGGCAGTAGTGCAGGCGAAAGAGGATGTCTTAGATCAGAGTTGTGGCAGTTCAGATAGTAGTGAATAAATTAGGGGAAAATTTAGGAGGTAAAATCAGTACATCTTGGTGATTAAAATGTGGTTTGCGTAAGAAGGAGAGTTGGATGATTGCCATGTTTCCTAGCTTGAGCAACTTGGAAATAAAGAAGAGAAACAGGTTTGGCTAATAAGCTCAGTTTTGGACAGGCTGAGTGTGAGAAACCAGTCTTCTTCACTACGAAATCCCCACCTTTCCTAATATCAAACTGAAATCTGCTTCTGTGTAACTCATTCCTTTGGACCCTAGTTCTCTCTTCTAGAGCTTGTATTGTCTGGCCTCTCGCTCCTCCTTCACTAAAGGTGATGATCATGTATACTTTCTCTGTCCCTGCCAATTCTCTTTCTCCCCCTTTCAGCTGATCTCTTTCAGCTATTTCTTACAATTCCTGGTTACCAGGTCCTGCCATCTGGTTGACCTCTTGGACATAACACTAAGTTGGTAGTGTGTGTCTTTGTTAAAACATAGGCCAATCTGGCCTCTTATGGGGCCCAAGTATATCACAGAGCAGAATTTGTAGCTCTTTCATTTTGTAGCTCTTTTCCTAGGGCCTCCAAAGAGGACACCAACTTTTCTTGTCCATCTTTTACCTAAGTGTGTAGACAATAGAAACTTAAGTTTTTTGTTTATTTTTCTTTATTGATTTTTTTAGAGAGAGAAAAAGGGAGAGGGAGAGAGAGAAACATTGATGAGAGGGAACATTGATTGGCTACCTCCTGCATACCCCTCACTGGGGATTGGACCCATAACCTAAGCATGTGCCCTGACCGGGAATCGAACCAGCAACATTTTGGTGCATGGGTCAATACTCAACAACTGAGCCACACTGGCCGGGCTTGTTTTTTTTTTTCCCATCTGTGCTGCCGTTTACCTAGGTCTCTCCCATTCTGTACCTTTGTCATTAATGGTTTAGGAACTGCAAACCTGAGAATGTTAAGATTGTTCTTCCAACTCCCCCAGTGTTCTCTAGTAAATTCTTATGAATCTTATTATTAATGAGTGTTTCTGGATTATTTGCAAAACTTTCAATATTTTCAGTCTCTAATATTTTAGAGAGGAACCTATATATTTGCTACCTGCTGAGAGTAGCCCCTAGGCCAGTATTCTAGGATTTGATGAATAAATTTTTTCCCCTAGTGGTAAGAGTTGAGTCTTACATTCTAGTTCTGTCTGGTAATTGACTAGTTATTTAGACAAAATATTTATCCTGGCTGGACTGCAGTCTTTACATCTTGGAAATGAGAGTGTTAAATGAGATAATCTGTAAGATCCTTTCCAGCTTAGATGGGCATTTTGTGCTTTTATAACTGTTCATCATATACTGCCTTTCTCCTTACATGCCTGTGTTGTCATATTATTATGAACTCTTCTCCCCTGCCTTGTTTTATAATTTTATTTTTTATTTATTTATTTTATTTTTATCCTCACCCAAGGACATTTTTCCATTTTTTGTTCAGATAGAGTGGGGGGGAGAGAAAGAGAGAGACATCGAAGTGAAAGGGACATATCAAGTGGTTGTCACTCGTACAACCCAACCAGGGGCGTGGACAAACTGCAACCGAGGTACATGCCCTTAGCGGGAACCAAACCTGGGTCTCTCTGGACCGCAGGCCGATGCTCTAACCGCTGAGCCAAACCGACCAGGACAATTTTTTTTTTTTTTTTTTTTTTTGTGGTATGTGCCCCTAGCGGGAACTGAACCCGGGACTCTCTGGTCCACAGGCTGACACTCAACCGCTGAGCCAAACTGGCCAGGGCTCCCCTGCCTTGTTTTTAAATAGGCTGAACTTTTTGTCCTCATATTTTCCTTTTTATCAAAAACTCATTTAACTCTCTAAATTTGTTTGAATTTTGTATTGCTTTTAAATGTCTCCAGAAAAGATCACAGTAGCATAAACAAAAGCAACATTGTCTTCTGGTTCATGTTACTTATTCTCATCCTTGTAGAGTCATCAAGACTCCCGAGATAGCAAACTTGGCCTTGCTTGGTTTTGGAGATGTCTTTGCCCTGCTGTTTGACAACCGCTACCTGTATATCATGGACTTGCGGACAGAGAACCTGATTAGCCGCTGGCCCCTGCCAGAGTACAGGAAATCAAAGAGAGGCTCAAGCTTCCTGGCAGGCGAAGCTTCCTGGCTGAATGGTCTGGATGGGCACAATGACACAGGCTTGGTCTTTGCTACCAGCATGCCTGACCACAGTATTCACCTGGTGTTGTGGAAGGAGCACGGCTGATGCCATGAGCCACCACCGCTGACTGACTTTGGGTGCCGGAGCTGCGGGTTTTGAGTGCAACCTCTTTGGCAGCCGACTGCATGAACCAAAGTTCTCACCTAATGGTATCATCACGCAGTGCACAATCATTTATCTATGTTTGCCAGGGGGCCAGGGCTCTGGGTGGGGGAGGGCTCGTTTTACTGACATACAACACAGCATGCTAATGGGGTACACCATTGACTTCATTTGTATTCAGTTATGTTGGTCAGTATAAGAGGACGCATTTTGGGTTCATCTTTCTTGAATATTGGTTTTAAGTAAAAATTAAATGGTTCATTAATCTACTAATTGGTTGCCTATAAAAACACATTCAGTCTATTATTAAAGCTTTTTACCATTGCCTTTTTTTCTTTTGAAGTTGAAACAAAGGTGCTATGAAGTTTTACAGCAACTTTGTCACATGGGGCTTAGCTTTTATAACAACCAGTGTTACAAAGACCACCAAGTCCTGTGACATTCAAAAACTCTCTACCAAATACCAGTTCTAAAGAAAATTTGTCTTCCGGTACAAATCCAGTTCTATAAATTGATTGATTGTAGTGTATTCCAGTTCCTAGTTCTTGGCAGAGTCAAGGTTGGCCATGGCTGAGAAATGTGGGAGTTCTGTTGTTTTTATTTCCATCTGGAGTAAGCTGATCTTCAGTCTCCCACAGCCTAGGTGACAGCACGGAGGTGGCGTGGTATAGTGGGAGACTGAAGACTGGCTCTCTTACCCAGGAACCCTGCAGCCTCAGGCATGTCTCTTCCCTGGGCCCTATTTTCCCTGTCTCTATAGCTAGTTGTTAAGCCAAGTGATAGCTAGTTAAGCCAAGTAATTTGTAAGATTCTTTCTGGTCCTGCATCTTTTGGTTTTGTCTGATTCCTGATTCATTGTTTCTTTGGGGTTGGAGATACTATCTAAATGAAATCACTGACACAAAGTTGTCATCTGTAACGAAATCAAATATTTGAAAAGGATGACTACAAGGAGAATGTAGAAAATATAACATATTCCACTTAGAAGATGTAAATAATTGGTGGAAAAAATGCTGATAGGAGTTGTGGTTCTGTAGAGAGGCAATGTGCTGTATTAGAAAGGCATCTTGACCCTGCCTTTTCTTTCTTCTTTGCTTCTAACTTGATATGTGGACTCAGTCAGGTTAACTTTCTGTATTTGAGCCCTCATTTCTTTTTTATCTTTACAATGAAGGAATTGCCCTAGATTAGGGTTCACAAACTTATGTGCCCAGGGAAGTTATGCAGGTGACATAAATGATTGAAGCATGCTGGGTAGGATTGTGCTGAACCTCAGAAAGCCTATGAACAGGGCAGTAACTCAGTTCAAGTGTTAGGCAGAAACAAGCCCAATATTGGCAGGTCTTCTCATTTTTCAGGAGGAAGTAGAAATCCAGAATTTTATTAAATTCCCAGATTTAAAAAAATGTTGACAACTAATTGAAGATAATTTAAAAGACAGTGGGCTAAACAGATTGTGTCCATGGACTGCCAGTTGGTATCCTCCACCCTCTCATTCCTGTAAAGTTAAAGAATACTGTGATTCAGCCATGGAAATGTTTTAACATAATTGGTCATTCAACTGTCCCATGGAGTCACAGGGGAATGGAGGGTATGTTTCATTCACAGACAGGAACAAGTTTAAAGATGAACATAAGAACTAGAACCTCAGCGAGAGCCTCTGCCTGGGAATATGAGTTACTCATTCTTCTGCTGACTAATATAAAGCATATCCATTTTAGGTGGGGAAAAGGTTCCCAGCAGAGCTGAGAATGATGCAAACTACAGTGGGGACACAGCTCTCCCAGAATCCACATTAGCAAGAGCCTGACAGTGGACCTCTGACTGAGGATTGGTGGTTGATTTCAGGGACAGGTTTAGTTAATATCCATGTTGACACTAAAGGGATTAGGTAAAAGAGCATTATCTTCCTTCATCTCTCAAATCCACCTCATACTGAGTTTTGTGTATGAACTCTGCCTGGTCCTCCAAGAAATGGAACCCAAATTGCTGCTGGAATCTATTTTGCAGGAGCCTCAAGAGACTGGGCAGTGATGAGGGTAAATGACTTCTTTCATTTAATGCAGGCTGAATAACTGAGATTGCTGATTTCATGACCATCCCTACTCCCACCTTACTTTGAGATGTATTCACCAGCTTCTAAGAGCAAGCAATTCATAAAAATAGTCATTTGTGTGGAAAAACATTTTTTTTTTAATGACAAATCTGAAACTTGTATGGTGTGTCCCACTTCTATGTTCAGTGTGAATACTGAAGTCATCAAGGTGGTGCTTAGTGCGGTCGGTTTTGACAGCAGCATTTGAGGCAGGGGTTGGAGTCTTAATTTCGAGTCCTCCTCATAGCCGCTTTCATTGCATTGGAGCATTTTATTTAATTGCTTTGTAGGTGCTAGATTTAGTCATACTATTATCAGCTTTTATAAAAAAGGAATACTCACTCATCATTTAAGAAGGTAAAGCAAAGTGGGAGTCAGCGAAAGAAGTGGCCAAGGGATCAGAAGCTGTGGTTGCTTAGCCTCCTTTCGCTGAGTTAGGGGGCTGCCTTCCATGTACGCTGACGTCTGCTTCCTTAGCTCGGAGGTGAGGGAATTGCCTTTGCCTCTTCTTTTGTGAATATTCTCATTTCTGAAAAATTCTGAAGTCATGAGCAGATGGACTCCATCCTTCTTTATGCACATTGGATAAGTTGAGTGACACCAAGTTTGGTGGAAGTGAAGGGCTTCTCTCAGGTTCATACAGGTACTAGAACAGCTCAGGCACTAGGGTGCAGGTCTGGGACAGCTAAGTGAGTGAGATTTTTAGCAGACCCATTGCAAAGGAAGCTAGTTTCCTTTGGCCCTATTTGAAGGAGTCATTGTTGTCAAAACTGGTCCAAACCTGACTTTCACACCTAACAGAGAAATAGGAAGACTTCCTCCAGGGAGGGACTTGACTTTGAAGAAGCTCTGAAAGAAGGTTCACAGGTTTGGATAGCTTCTGAGTGGAAGGTGGGGACTATTGCTGTTCAATTTTAAGGTTTGCACTGCCTTTTTCATAGTTTAAAAATTACACTGTTCTAATCATTAAAAATGCTTAGTGTAAAGGGTGCTTGAGGATTTTATGATTATGCTGGTATTTGCTCTCAGGAGAATGATTACTGCTCTGTATAAAATATCTTAGGGAGAAAAGAAATACATTTGGAAACAGTATTATTTAAGACATGAAGAAATTGTTTCTGTTAGATTAGACATTTTACCCAAGCAAAGGTGGCTAAGGATAGTAGAGTCTGGCTTTACTTGCTTTGGCCAAACCCAGCCACCTAGCTCCTTGAAGTTGTGATTGTGTGCCCTGGCTTCTTGGGAGCCTAGAGGTGTGTCTTCCCACCATAACTTCTAGCTTTCTGTGCCTCCTTCTCTGGGCCTCTTACAGTCCTAGGTGACTGAATCACTTGCCTTTCTCTGCAGGGAAGTGTGCAGTATCAGATCGCTGCTCCAGGATCTGAAGCAGGGCATCCTGGAGCAGGGCACACTGTCATCCTTGCCTTTAGGGACATGGAGTTGTCAGGATAGGGGAGGAGCCCTTTTAGGTCTGTCCCCTTGACATAGCCTTTGTATCTGGTTATGCTGGTACTTGCCAGGTTATTTAAGACAACAAAGACACTGTTGGGAATTATTCAGTCCCCAGCTAGAGTGTCTGATGAAAGGGACAGGTTAGCATTCTTTTTTTTTTTATTTTTAATTTTTTTTTTCTTTATTGATTTTTGAGAGAGAGGAAGGGAGAGGGAGAGAGAGATAGAAACATCAATGAGAGAGAACATTGATTGGCCACCTCCTGCATGCCCCTCACTGGGGATTGGGCCCACAACCTGGGTATGTGCCCTGACCGGGAATCGAACCAGCGACCTCTTGGTGCATAGGTCGTAGCTCATCACTGAGCCACACCGGCCGGGCACAGGTTAGCATTCTTGACAGAAATGCCCACTAGCCATCTTTGGCACTGTCTTTGACCAGAGGTTCTCATGCCTACTCCTGGAAAGTGAATTTGTTCAGGATAAATCCCCAAATGGATGACTGGATAGTCTTACACCACTCCCAACCAACCCAGGCTGAATGGTCATGCTCCCTGCAAAAAGGTGCTTTGCTATCAGGTTGTTTCAGTGTGTTTCTAGTCTTTTCTAGAATAGTTTCATTGCTTAAAGTTAGTGCTACAGTCCTGACCAGTGTAAACCCACTGAATTATTGTAGCTTAAAGAATCAGCTACTTCTACTCCTCAGAAATGTGCTGAAATAAAAAGATGTTTTTGCATATTTAAACCAGGCAAATTATTAATTCAGATGGCACAAACTCAGCAGTTTTTTGGAGTCCCTACATTCACATTGTGAACAGACATATTTCACTAATTTGGATTTGCTACTCTTACTGGGAAGGCTCAGGTTGAAAAAGGCTGATCCCACCAATCCAGCATCTATGGTAACATGATTAAATCTGTCTACTCATGTTTCACTAATTTGATGTATGTTATGTTCTTGGGGGAATGAGGTGAAGTTTGTATTTGAACTGTCTGTGGGGCAAGGGGGAGTAGGGATTGCTTAAGTAGTGGAGTGATTGTGGTACAAGGTGTCTCTATAAGACAGGACAATATTTCCATGCATCATAGAACTTTATTTTACCCATGAATGATCGTGCTAACTATAAACCATTTATACATTAAAACAGTTTCCTCAATTAGGCAATATTTGGTTAGCCAAGCCCAAGTTATTGATTGTACTTGAAAGTAATAAAGCTGCATTTCCTTACAAATACATTCTGTAGTAAAGACTAATTTCTTGTTTTTTTGCCCCCCCCCCCCCCACCAATTCAGAGGGGACTTTTTAAAATTGTGTTCTAGAATGTGTTCTTAGGGATGAAACTACCCCTCAGATGACAAGAAGTAGCTTTGTTCCTTTACTGTTTCTACATGCACTAGAATGTAAGCCCAACAATATAATGGTTTTTTAATGAGATCCAAGAGGGGAAACAACACATTTAAAAGTAAAATGCAAGGAAGGAAGTTTGGCAACTCGTGGGTATGCATGTAGATGGGAGTGGGGGCGGCAGAGTACTGTCATGCAGGTGGAGACCTTGGAATGTCGTCTTCTCTTATGCCCTCTTCTACTCAGCACATGCCCGAGCTGGTTGTCTTCCCTCTTAATTTAAATTTGTAGGACTCCTTGCCATCAGACGTGGTCTTGTATCTTTGATCCCCAAAAACACCATTATAGGGCAGATTGTCTTTCCTCTCTTGCAGATAAGAAAGCTGAAGCTTGAAAAAGTGGCTAATTGCTTATAGAGGGCTGTGATTTTAA